CTAACCCACAAAATGAATTTTCACAACTGCATAATTCAGGTGAAATTTCAAAGAGAAATTATAATTCTGTTTTTGTGTGAAATACCATAATTTCAAAATATCTGCTACCCGAAACAACTTGCAAATATGAGTGCTAGTTGACTGGGCCCTCCGCCGTTCGAGGAAGGAGGCGATCGACGTTGTTGGAAAGAATCCTGAGAAAAATAATTTTCGCATAAAATCTTCATAGTGCGTAAAGAAGATACTCGTAGGAGAAGCAGTGGGAAAAACACGCAAAACGCGTGAAAAATGACCAAAGAATTAGGAAAAAATTAGGAAAAAACGTGGAAACAACGATGACATTAACATCTTTTTAAAGGAAAATTAGCGATATTTTTAATTGACAAATTTCTCGTGATTTTTTTTACTTTACGTTGCGGTTTGAATATATATAAAAACACTTTTTTTCACGCAGTTATCAACCCGTGAAAGAAAATGCAGTAATAATGGCGTTTCACCCGCGATATGAAAAACACTAGAAAAGATATGTTCAGTTCACTTCATATCGCGCTTAATACGTAGAGTAATGCGGCACTTAGCGTAAAACGATAAACACGGGTCATAACCCGACTTGGTCGTTATGATAATTATTAATGAAACCAATGAATCATAGGTCGAATATTAAAAGATACACATTAGGTCCGAGAAGATACTACTTCATCTCGAGTCGTCGGTGTGGTACTATCCTTGGGAGTTTTCTGCAGCGACGCACGCCAAAGACTTTTGCGAGCACCCAAGCGCAACGGTGTGATGAAGAGGAAACGGGATGATGGGGAAATCATTCGGAAATTTCCTGGGCAATTTTGTGATGAGAGTGTTGGAGTAGGAATATATGTTCGCTTTCCTCAGCTGAGCTCGAGAATTTCGAAAGCTGATTAGATGAGTTTATACACGATGTGATGTATAAGTGTAAAAAAATCGATGAAAATTTCTCAAAATTTCTCCATTGTCACCAACACATGTAGTTGACCATGTACTTATTTTCCCGCACTCCCTTATGACGACTCGTAAACTTTTTCAACAGTTTTCCTACCACTCGAACCACTGAAATTCACGTCGAGAAGTCAATATGCACTGCTAGTAGAAAAATGCTCCATAATTTCGAAAACTACACAAACTAGGGTAGAAATTATCGCCGTTTACATACGCCTTTCCTGAAAGATTCATTTGATGTCCAGTGGCGACTTCATGTATGTTGATATTATGCTTGGGCGAATCAGATGTGCATTGATTCATGTCTTAGTCGGGCCCCCATTTCTTGTTGTACATATTGAAAGAAATTTTCTTTCCAAAACTATCAACGGAAATCCCGTGATTTGAATCGTCTCCTTATCCTCATACTTTTGTCCATTTGTCATTCAACGAGGTCAAGGAGAAAAGAAGTGATGATGATACGAGTTAGTATAGAGCAAAACGGTCGGGCGGGCGACGACCAAAGCTGTGAGGATATCCTCCTTACCGCTTCCCGACTCTCAAGCTGTTACTAAACTCAAGAAATTATCTTCTGAGAACAACTAGAATCATTGTAGATAGATCAATAGCAATGAGATGGCGGTGGGGTATCAGGTCGAGTCGAAGCGAGTCAACTTTCGATGCTGCCCGTTTGTTCGACTAGTTTGCTTGTAAGGAGTCATCACCATCATTACGTTGCGGAGAAAATGCGCGTTGCGATGCAGATCTCGCTCGCCATGCTTAAGCGCGAAACGGCGAGGTAGAAGGCGAGCGAGATATATACGTTTCTCAGGTATCCATTGATACGCTTAAAAACTCTCTGTGACAGATGCAGGTTCATCACGTCAAGTTTGGCCTCGGTCCTCTTCCTCGTGGACCGAAGGTGACTAACAAGAGGAAGCTGTGTGCCCATGAAGGGTGCCTCAAGCAGGTGAGCAGGTTTCCGGGCTACTCCATAGCTTCTTTGTTTGTTTCTTTCTTCAAATGATGGTTGTTTCTCTTAGCTCGGGACGGGACTCCGTACTGCATCAGTCACGGAGGTGGCCGTCGGTGCGAAGTGCTGGAGTGCACGAAGAGTGCTGTGGGCAGCAGCGAACGCTGCAAAGCTCACGGCGGAGGAGAAGATGCACCGTGGATGCTGTACCACCGCTGCCCGCCCAG